CATATAAATACGCATGTACATATAGCTAGACACATACATATACATGTACATAAACATATACATATACATTTACATGTACATATACGTAAACATGTACATATGCATAGATATATGCATGTACACAGACATAAACACATAAACATGTCCAGATAGACATACATCCACATATACATATAAATCAAGTTTATATGTGTTTGAATATATGTATATACATACATAAACATAAACATGAGCATGCACAAATACATAAATGCATACATGTACATGGACATACATATATATATATACACGTATAGATGTATATCCTCCGCAAGCCTCACGGGTCACCAGAACCTCCATGGTTTTCTGTGCCATGCAAAACCCGCTACCCCAGCCACAAGTTCAAGCAACAGACCAGCACAAGTGGCAAGACGAGGATTCGCACAGCCAGCGCTGCCTCTCAAGAAAAACGGTTTCGATATTAGCGAAAGGAGGGGGGAGGGAAGGGAGCGACTTGAGCACAGGCTGCATCGGCACGAATGCAAGCTCAACCGAAAGACGATGGCGCTAACCCTCACGCTTTACTCAGGATGCCCGTTCCAAGAACTACTACCCTCCGCAGGCCTCACGGGCCATCAGAGCCTCTGTGCTTTTTCTGTGCGATGCCAGATCCGCTTCCACAGCCACGAGCACAAGCAACAGACCAGCACAAGTGGCAAGACGAGGATTCGCACAGGCAGCACTGCGTCTCCATTCGCACGCATAGTATGAACATGCCGTCGGCCCGTCCCAATCAGGATGACATTGCCTCCCACATCAACTCCAAGCTTGAGCTGTTGACAGATCTGTAAAGCACTTTGTCGGCCTGCAGGGCGGAATTTGGCGGGTAGGCGGCAGCCGAATTGGTTAGACGAGCGCCCTCCAGCACCAAGCACGGGCAGCCAATGCGAGAACATAGACCGCCGCGCCCACTGCACAGCCGCCGCAAATGCGTCAAGTCGCCCACGCGCCAAGCCCGCAAGCGGGTCCGCCTGCGAAGGTAGCACCGCACTGGCAGTAGTCGAGCACCACTTGCGAGACGTCGGCTCGCCCACAGAGGGCCGCCAGCGGCGGCGGGGCCCACGGCGCGGAGCTGGCAGGGTTTTCCAGAAAAGCCGCCACGCGATGTCGGGCGCAGGCAGACAAGATAGCAATCGTGAACTTTGCCGTCGCATTACCTACCTGAATTCGATCAAAGTCTGCAGGCCGCGCCAAGGCGTCAGCGCGACCCCAAAGGCAGTTGGGCCCGCGCAGCGGCCTGCCTGGTCGGCCAGCCCGGCCGCGGCGCGCGGCGCCCCAGGAGGAGCAGGGCGCCGCGCCGCCCAGCCCCCGCAGCTCGCGACGCGCTCGGCGCCGGCGAACGGCCCCAGGAAGACCCCGCAAGCACGCCGCTCGCGACGAGCGCGGGCCACCTCGGCCCGCGCGCGGCGCCTCGGGGCCGCAGCGCAGGCCAGCTCGGGGCAACCAGCGGGAGCACCGGCGGCAAGCGCAGCCCTCGGGAGCCCCTCCTCGACGCACCTCGCGAACTGGGTCGGGGGGCGCAGCTGCGGGCGCAGCACGCGGACTCCGCTGACCAGGGCGGCGCCACGCAGCGCGCAGGCCAGGTGGACGGCGTCGAACGACCCAGAGTGGCCTTAGACGGGGGCCCGCGCATCCAGGAGCTCGAGGAAGGTCCCGAACCACTCAAAGTTCGCCCAGCCGAGGATCACGATCTCGTCGACCTCGCCTGTCTGGTTGGCGCGGCCCTGCTCGCGGGCCCCGAGGGCGAGCCCCCAGCGCGGCGAGTCGCCCGCCCCGGCGACGGGCGGGGCGAGGGAGCTCGACGTGAGTCTGAAGAGCTGCCCGGGCCGCAGGCAAGCTATGACCGCGATGATCACGGCGACGGCCTCCTCGAAATGGCCCAGCCACATCAGCCCGCCCACGAGGTCCATCATGCCGCGAAAAGGGGGCGGCGCACGGCTGTGAAGTGGCACCAATTTCCTCCAGCCTGCGATGGCTCGCCAGGCTCGCGGCAGCTGTCGCTGGGCCTTCATTCAGTTCTGGCCAAGGGCGCTGGAGGGATGATCTCGGCGAGCGACTGGCGGTTGCAGTCGCGGAGGCCCGCCTTCGCCACGCACTGCTGGAACCGGCCCAGGCGGCGAAGGCAGCCCCCCAAGGCCGCCGCCTTCACTGACAAAAGCTCCGGCACATCCGCCGCGGCGCGCGGGCGATGGGCTCGGCCGCGGCGAAGTGCCCCGAGGCCCTCCTCGCCCGCGTGCAACCCCGCGCGGCGGGCGGGCGCCAGACCAGGAGGTTCGAGAGGCCCCTGAAGCTCTGCGGCGCCAGCGAGCCCTCCGCCATCCGCTGAGCCGACGGGCGCCGGGCTCGGGGGCGCAGTGAAGGAGCCGTCGCCACTGCAAGAGTAGTCGCCCCCGCTGACGTCGCAGGCGCGCAGCGCAGCGAGCTCGATCTCATCGCGCAGCTGCTCTCAGGCGACTCTCTGGCCAGCCTTCCGCTCGACCAGCATCTGGCAGGCCTCTGAGAGTCGCTCAAAGACAATGCGATTCGGCGCATGGCTCCCTCGCGATGGAGCATCGGCGGGGCTCAGTTCGCCGGGCACCCACCGCGCGTGGAGGCGCCGGCCGGCGAAGAGATCAAAGGCCGCTATCTCACGACGCGCGGGCAGTAGGCGGCGAGACAGCGCTCGGCCCCTGGCGATGGCCAGGGCCAGAGCCAAATTGTAGACGAGGAACGCCGCGCGCCGTTGGCGACGCGCGCGAGTACGAAGCAAGTGTCGAACAGCCATGACAAGAGCCCGACCCTCAATCCCCACGACCTCGCCCCCCCCCGCCACCCCCCGCAGGTGCCAGCCCGAAGCAGGCACTGCCGGAGCTGGAACCTCGCCAAGCAGCGCGTCTTCCCAAGGCCGAGCATCCGCTGCCCGACAAACGGCGGGGCGAGATCGAAGGTCCTCCAGACCGTGCCCGAGAACGTCAGGACGAGGAGCGCGCTCGCTCCCAACAAATGAACACCCCTCCTGCCCCGCCGCGCGCAGCGCACCCAAGAGCCGCCCGTCGAAGCGTCGCCGACGCGAACGAGATCGCTCGAAGGCGCACGCGCGCTGCGCGATAAGAATGAGATCTCGCATCCAAAGGAGCCCCCTCGCCACGGCTGGCCACAGCTGAACGACATCTCCAGCGCGGCGCCCGGCAAAGCTGCAACGCGCACCCACGATCGAAAAGGCCCGCGGCGAAGGAGACTGGCCCACGCGAAATGCCCCGCCAACTTTCTGATCCCACGCCAACTCGCACGACCAGTGCCCCAGGCAAAATCAAGCGCCAGGCGAAGCTTCCACGCCTTCTTCGAGCTCGCACGGAAAACGCGCCTAGCCCCTTCAAAGAGAAGCCCCGCGAACTCAGCGGTCGCCTGCCCCATCAGAGACCACGCGGCGCCCAAGGCCCATGTCTCCTGAGACGGAACGGGCATCCGAGATGCGCGACGCGGCTGCGTGAAGGCCCACAGAAACAACAGACAAGTTATCTACATACACGGCGCGCTCGACCGAGGTGCCACCATATACCGGAGGAGATCCCCGGCCAGAGACCTCGCCAACACCACTCAGGCCCACCCCCCCCCATCCCGACGGAGGCCCCGCAGAAAAAGAGAGCCCAAGACCGGCCCGCGGGAAGGGCCAAGAGGCGCGGCGAACAAAAAGGCCCCTAGCGGGCCCGGCCCTCGGCCGAGAGGCCAGGGACACAAGACGCTTTAGCCCCGGGCAACACAAGAAGCTCGCACACCCCCAGGTCAAGGGCGATACTATAGAAGGCGGCCCGCACATCGCACTGAGCGGCCCGGAGAGGTTCCTCGCCGTCGACTTCGACCCGGCTCCGGGAGCCTCCGGCGCCGGCATAGCAGTCTTAACAGGAGGAGGAAAGAGAGGAGCCGGCGTCGCAGATCATTCGGAGAGAGCCGTCATTTGTGCTCACAGGAATGCCCCAACGGCGGCGGGCCGAGCGCTCGAGGAGCCCACGATGCCTCTCGCACGCAGGTCGCCCGAGAGCTCGCCGCGCACTGCCAGGCGTCGCACGAGCGATGGGTGAGAAACCAGGAGACGCCAGATCCGCCATCGCCAGGAGCACTGATGCCCTCCTCGAGAAGGAAACGAAAACTCCACTCCGCCCACATCTTCAGCCCCCCCGGCCGTCGAGCAACTCGGAGAGCTAGCTCCACGGGCTTAGAGGAGTCCGGAGGCAGCGAGACAGAGCCCGCGCGGCGCGGAGATGGTAGGCTCGCAGCGTCGGCCTCGAAGGCGAAGCCCGCGCGGGCGCCGCAGCAGAGTTCCAAGCGGGCCCCCGCGGCGCCACCAAGACCGGCGGGCGGGGGGCTGGCGACCCAGCACGCGCCCTGCAGCTCCCCCAGCTGCCCCGCCGAGAGGTGCGTCGGAGACTCGCAGCCCGCGTCGAACGGGCGACCGGGAAGCTCACCGAGCGCAGCAACGCCTCGATTGCAACAAGCCTGCCAGTGCAGCCGCGACGCCGCCCGTCTTCTCATCGAGTGGCACCGGCCTCGCCCAGCAGCACCCCCGCCGAGGTCAAGAGGCGGCAGGCACGAGAGGAGCTCCCGAGCGGGCCCACCAAGAGCCCCGCCGCCCGTTATGGTGTCGAGCGGAGGGCTGGCCCTGCACGGCGGCAAGACAGCCAGCTCTCACCGCCGGGCCCCATGGAGTAGTCCTTCTCGCCCTAGCCTTGCGCTCTTCAAAGGGCATTGCGCCGTTGCCCCATGAATGGCCCGGCACTCGCTCGAAAGCTCGCGACCCACCCAGAACTTCACCTCGGGCGAAAAGCGGGGCACCCCGCGGGTCGCCGAAAGGCCGAGGTAGGTGGGCGTCGTCGCATGGGCCGCTGGCGACGACCTTTTTGCCGCCGGGCCGCTTCTTCGAGATGAACTTCTCAACTCGCCCGATCGGTCCGGGCGAGCTGCGGCAGGTCCAGCTGGTCGTACACCGCGCCGAAATACAGCATCTTCATCACCTCCGCGCGCTCGCCCACGCCGACGCCCGTCGGCTGGAGCCCCGCAGCGGCCAGGAATCGAGCGCGCCGCTGCTCAGGAGTCTGGAAGTGCTCGACGATGAACGACGGCGCGAACGCGGGCCTCTCAGAGGCCAATCCACCCAAGACGACTCCTGCATGGCCTCGACGGACGCACTGAAGTCGCGGCGCCCGATGCCAAGGGGAGTCCTGCAGATGGCAGATGGCCAGCACGCGAGCGCCACCATCGCTCTTGGCCTGCCCTGCGTCCGAGGCGTCTCCCAGGCGAGCCAGCCGCGCCATCGCGTCGCTGGGCTTCACCTTGAGCACGCCATTCTCGGCGAAGATGTCCTTGACGAGCGCCTCGAGCGCCGGGCTGTCGAGCCGCCCGAGCTGCCCCTTCAGCCAGACACCGTTGTCCGCCTTGGACCGCAGCGACCGCTGGGCCCGGCTGACCAGCGCCTGGGCCGTCACGATTGCCTCGCCCAGGCCCTCGCCGCCCTGCACTTGCGCCCTAGGCGGAGGCGACCACAGCGCGCGCCGCAGCTGAGCAACTCGCGCCTCGGCGTAGCCGTCCAGCTGCTCGAGCTCGACCCACTCGACGTGAACGCCCACGCCCTGGACGACCGCGATGCCCTGCGATCCAGCGACAGCCACCTGGTCTGGCGTTTCCGGGCCGAGCGGAAACCCGCAGCTTGCATCCGCATCCACCCAGGCCCCAAGGCGCGCGGGCGGAAACAGAGGGGGCCGCGCCGGGCGCGCCTCGGGGCGTGTCAGCGCCCCCCACCTCCGCGGGCGGCGCCTCGCGTCCTCCAGGGCGGCCAGCGCAGGCGGTTGCTTGCCGCGCAGCCGGCGCGAGGGGGCCCGCCGCCGCGGGGGCCCCGCCCGCGTCGCGGGCGCCGCCCTCAGGTGCAGCGTCCACCGGCGGCACAAGCCCAGCCTGGAAGACGTCGGCCTGCGCCATCAGCTTGTTTACCCTGTACGGCGGGATGTCCCCGCTGCGAGTCCCGCCGTCGAAGAAAAGGTAGGCCTCGCCCTCGGCGGCGCCAGCAGGGAGGGTCCTCGACCGCGGGAAGCGCATCACCCTGGCGAACGAGCCACGGTCCGTCAGCATATCGTCGGACACGTCGTATTCGGGGGTCGCCGCGTCCTCGAGACCATCCTGCAGAGCAACCGCTCGTGAAGGCACCTGTCGTCCAGGTACTGCGACAGCACGTGGTCGCCCTCCTCGAGGCTCTCAAGCTCGGCTCGGGAGAGCATGCCGCCGCAGCCGCTCCTGCGCCGCGCGCCGCTCCGCCGAGATGCCCTCCGCCGCGTCCGTGCCCGCCGCCCCCGCGGAGGCCAACAAGGCCGCGCGCGCGGGCGGTGGGCCAGGGCGCGGCGCCGTGGACTGTGGCTGGCGCGCCAGCTGGCCCAGCAACAGCCCCACGGCGACCCCCGCCACGAAGATGGCCGCCCGCGGCCACCAGCTGCTCGGCGGCGCCGCTGGGCAGGCCACTGCCCCCATCGGCACCCCCAACGCGCACGTCAGGGCGCCGCACACCACGTCGGGGCAGCGCAGCGAGGAGCAAAAAGGGCACGATTGCATCGCGGAGCTGAAGTGGAGGGAAAGATGGGACAGCTACCGGAGGATCCCTCCGAACTGGAACAGATCCATCGAGCGACTTGAGCACAGGTGACATCGGCACTGATGCAAGCTCCACCGAAAGACGATGGCGGTGACCCTCACGCTTTACTCAGGATGCCCGTTCCAAGAACTACTGCATAATGTGAACATATGTATATATACATGCATGCATGCATAGATACGTGCATACGTACGTACATACAAACATACATACCTACACACAGACAGACAGACAGACAGGCAGACAGGCAGACAGACAGGCAGACAGACAGACAGACATGCACATATACATGCACACATACACACACACACACATACACACACACATGAATATATACACACATACATGCATGCATACATGCCTACATGCATACATGCATACATGCATACATACATCCATACATGCATGCACGCATGCACGCATACATCCATACATGCACATACATACATACATATCTATATATGTATATACATCTGCACATGTAGATATACACGTGTATCTATACATACATACATGAATACATAAGTGCATGCCCAAATACATTCATCCATGCATGCATGCACACATACATACAAACGCACGGATATACACACATACATATGTATATATAAATACAAACATACGTGTCTATATATACAATCATGATTCCATGCATGCATACGTACAGACATACATGCATGTATATACACACACATATGCGTACATACATAAGTGCATACATGCATGCAGTCACACATACAAACATACGTACATCACAATACATTACAATACAATACACTACAATACAGTACAGTACCTTAAATTACATTGCGTTACAGTACAATACATCACATTATGCCTATTACATTACTTGTCACGCATCACATTACAATTCATACGCCGCATCACATTACAATGCAGTACAGCACATCACACTTCATTACATTACAGTACATGCATTACATACAACAATATAGTTACCACCACAGACACATACATACACTCATACATACATATACTTACATGCATGCATGTATGCGTGCATGCAGACAGACAGACAGGCAGACCAGCATCTTAAAATATAGAGCCGTTAGATGGCACACGAATTGCCACATCATAACAACTTCGAACGTGTTTCCAGTGGACTCGTACGTGTTCCCGTAGACAATTATTATAAGTGAGTTGGGATATATTGGGAATCACTATGGGGTCTACGAAAACACACGCAATCCTTGTCAAGAGGTTTTCCCAGCGCAATCCCAAGCGCACCCCGAGCGCTTCAAGGCACTACCAAGACTCCCCGCAGGCTCCCAGGCGTGATCGCCCAAAAGCGTTCCCGAGCGTCTCCATGTCGGCACCCGCGGCTGGCAACTTGCACGAGGAATTCAACGTTTACCACATCCACGCGGCGAGCGAGCGCCGTGGACAGCACTAGTCGTCATCGTCATCGTCGTCGTCGCCGCCGCCGCCGTTGCCGTCGCCGTCGCCGTCGCCATCGACGTCGCCGTCGCCGTCGCCGTCGCCGTCTCCGTCGTCGACGTCCTCCTCCTCCTCCTCCTCCTCCTCCTCCTCCTCCTCCTCGTCCTCACCAAGGCCGAGAGGTAGCGCGACCGACGAAAGCAGCTCGGGCGGTCATTCGTCGCGAACTCGGCGACTTTCTCCACTACCTCGCAGCTGCGCGTTTTTACCATATTGAGAATATAACACACGCGCACGCGCGGCCACGCGCAAAGCCATTGGCGAGGACTAGCGCGCCCAAAAACCATCACTACCCGTGCCAGCCCTGGCTCTTGAAAACTAGGTAGCGGCCAGCGGGCGACGCACTTCATCAGCTTCTGGCACAGAAACGTCGAACATTCCACACATCGTGGTAGCGAAGATGTGAACACAGCCTCTCGCTTCCGAGCAACCTTCACCGAGGTTCAGAATCCACACAACAGGTCGACGGGGTGGAAGCAAACAATATTGCCTGAGGCGCGGGGAGGTAAAATCGGCAAGGCCAGGCCTGTGAGAGGCAGCGAGGTGGACCTTCGCCGGCGAGCGCCCAAGAGCCCGCAGAAACCTGCCGAACCAACTTCTTGGGGGGTGCGGCAGCCGAGGCGGGGCAGGAGAAAGCAGCTCGGCCATCGGCCTGCCGTGGAGCCGAAGATTGGAGACCCTGTCTCCCCGAGAACACACTCGCCCCGAATCCAGTCGGGGCTGATGGCAGAGGACGCCCGAGAGGACACACTTTTCCAGTCGGCGGCGCAGAGGGCCCTCAAGCGCGAGCAGCAGATGGAGGTGCGAATTGCGATCGAGCACTGCCGAAGGCGCAGCGCACAAAGCGTCGCACACAGCAACATGCAAGCGATGGGTGTGTTAGAGGTACTGTAAGTCCAGACGAAACATGCAGCGGCCAGAAAACGATGAGAATACTCAACTCAAAATGAACTGAAGCGCGACAGCCAGAAGCTAATGGTGGCCACTGAATCACAAGAGCGGCGTTAGACCGTGAAGCGCAAGGAAATACGCTGCTAGGCAGATTGGTGGTGTCCGACCCAGTGGTCCTGCGAAGCAGATTGGTAATGATTGGACCTACAGACCAGCAACGCAAAGCGACGGCCCTGCCGAAATAAAAGGGTCGGGGCGGAGGGGGCGCGCTGGCTGGTGGGTGGGGGGGATGCCAGGGGGGGTGCGCGGGATGGGGGGGGGCGAAATAAAAGGGTCGGGGCGGAGGGGGCGCGCTGGCTGGTGGGTGTGGGGATGGTGGTCTCGGTGGGTGGGAAGGGTGCCGTGCCGAAATAAAAGGGACGGGGCGAAGTGGGCGCGCTGGCTGGTGTGTGGGGGGGGGGGGGGAATGCGGAGGGGGCGCGTGGGATGGGGGAGGGGGGGGGGGCGTGCCGAAATGAAAGGGTCGGGGCGAAGGGGGAGCGCTGGCTGGTGGGTGGGGGGATGGGTGGCGGAGATGGGGCCGCGCTGGGGTCGCGCTGGCTGGTAGAATGGGTGGGTGATGGAGGGTGCCATGCCGAAATAAAGTGGTCGGAGCTCTAGACACCCTGTGCAAGAGAAGAAAGTGCATGAATAACACGCCTTGCACGCACAACCTGTCAGCAAACTTAGCAACTGTCACATCACAAAACATATAAGGACGGACGGAGATGAACAAAGTCAAACCACCGTGCCAGCGTAAGAGCAAACAAGCGCGGCGAGCGGGCCACCCGGCCAGACAACCGCCGTCACTATTAAAAAAGGAATGAGAACGCCGCCAGAGAAGACACGCACACACACACACACACACACACACACACACACACACACACACACACACACACACACACACGCGCAAAAGTCTCTCCCGAGGGCAACCCCCGCCACCAGTCATGAAGAGGAAACGAATCGCGACTGACGGACACGGGGACACCCGTGATCTTGCAGGGCCAAGTCCACAGATCGGGCCCGATCGCGTGACGTGAAGTCAAGGGGCCAGGAGGGAAACAGGCCCAGGACCCAGGGCTTTCTCCTAAGAACGGCCCTTCATCTTGAGAGTAATTGTTTGACGGGCCTGCGGCCCGTAGCCCCGAGAGCCCGAAGACCGCGCAGAACCTGAGGACCAGTTTCCCCCGGGACCCCTCTGTTTCATATCGAGCTGTACCCCCGCTCCTCTCCTAGACCTGGAAAAGATCGTTCTGGGGGCCTTCCTGGAGCCTCTCGCCCCACTCATGGGTCGATGCTGCGTCAAACTCCCGTCGACTCGAACCGAACTTGAGCCAGATTGAGGCAAGCTAGCATCAAAAAGATCTGTGAGGTGAGCCCTGGGAAGGGTCCCCAGAGCGAGCATCTTACAACCCCCCGTCAGTTCCAGAGACAGCACCCGCCCAGACCGTTCCCCCGCCCCGCGCCCACCTGCGCCCCCGCGCCCCCCCGAGCTCACCGCCGCCAGCTCGCCCCGCACCCCCCCCCCTCCTGGACCTCCGGCGCCGTGCTCCCTGCCACAGCGTAAGCCCCCGAAGGCCCGGACCTTTGCCGCAGGGTCCGCTCCTCGTCGCGCGCGGGGCTCGGCAGGGGGCCCCCTGCGGAGGCCGCACAAGAGGGCCGCACCCTCCTGTGGGATTCTTCCCCCTGCGGGAGCCGCACAAGAGGGCCGCACGTGCCCTCCGCCCCCCCCGCGCGCCAGCCCCCTCCTCGAGGCGCGACGTCTGCGCCCACACCCGCCCAGCCCAGCCCGCCCCAACGGAGACCACCGCCACCACCACGAACCCGTCGGAGGGGGGCGACCCCTGGGCGGTGACACGCCCGAGCGTCACCCAGCACGCCGAGGGCATTGGATCAAGAACCTTTGGATGACAGATCCAGGGTCAGCAAGCCGGGTGGAACTTCAATCGTAGAGTGGCCGTGGACCTCACCGCCGCCCTCGTCGGATAAGGAGTCCTCCAGGGTCTGGAGCCTCCTGGGCACACTCCTCAACAGGGCGACGCTCAGGCGCGCCACCGCCCAGGGGCGGGTCCCCCGCGATGGGTTCTCGGCAGCGCTGGCCCGTTTGTCCCCAGAACCTCGGACCCCTGGCCCGTGCCACGCCTGCCCGCCCCCCCCGCTACCACCCCGAGGCCCTGCCGCCTCCGCTGGCCCAGGCTGCCTCTCAGATGTGAGGCCTGGCGTGCTTCTTCGAAGCCGAGCTCGATGCCAAAATGAAGCAACGAGAGAAATGCGCACTTTTCGAGGCCGTCATGTTCACAACCGCAGAATACTATACGGTCCGGACCTCTTGCATAGCTGGTCGCGGCGGCGGTCCCGGCGATACGCTGTGCCTGGCAAGCGGATAGCGTGACGCTCTGCTCCGCGGGGCGGGAGGCTCGGGAAAGCTCGGGACGTTGACGCTTGGGGAATGGGACGCAGACAGCGTGTCGCGCCGAAGCGTGGTGGGTCAGAGCTGGCGGAGCGACACGCTAAGCGAAAAGTTCCTGATCGTGTCTGGCCCGACTTCCGAAAACTGCGAGTGCTCCTCGACGCCGAGGCTGACCTCGAACGGACACCTCGCAGCTCCTTTGCCTGCCGGCGCCCGCCAGCGGTGGCCCTCAGGGCACGCGCGCCCTGGGAGCACGTCGCCGCCCACCGGCAGGCCCGCCGTGCCACCCAGGGTGGACAGAACCCCCTTCAGCAAAATATGTGTTCTGTCGGCGGCGTCTCGGAGCCGAGTTTGCGGGCGGGCCACGCTGGGGCACAGGCGAAGCTGACTGCGGCTCGTGCGGATGGGGAAGGAAGGAGGAGAAGAAGAGGAGACCGCGCGCGACGGAGGGGCCCTCAGAGCGCTAAAGTGTTCGGGGTGTGCCGGAGCAGGCTCGACGTGAACGCCCAGGACGGACCCCCCTCAGCAAAACACACTCTGGTGAAAAGTTCCCTAGACGTACCCACACCCTTCTGGGGCGTTGGCCCGCCCAGCGCTGCCCAGCGGCCCGCGGGGCGCCCGTGCGCTCGAGCCAACACGCCAGCGCCTCTGGAGGAGGAGGAGGAGGTGGAGGAGGAGGAGGAGGAGGAGGAGGAGGCGGAGGAGGAGGAGGAGGAGGCGGAGGAGGAGGAGGCGGAGGAGGGGAAGGAGGAGGAGGAGGAGGAGGAGGAGGAGGAGGCGGAGGAGGAGGAGGGGAGGGGAGGAGGAGGAGGAGGAGGAGGAGGAGGAGGAGGAGGAGGAGGAGGAGGAGGAGGAGGAGGAGGAGGAGGAGGAGGAGGAGGAGGAGGAGGAGCATAATTTGAACGCTCCGTACAAAAGAAGACGTCCAGCGCTCTGCGCCCTGCCATGCGACAGCGCACCGCACGAATCGACGGGGAAGGCGCCGGCGCGCCACGTGGGCACGCTCCATGCGGGCGCTCTGCACTCCGCCGTGCCTCCCGGGAGCCCGCGAAGTTGGAGATGTTTGCACAGTTCGCAGCCCGCGAGGGAGCCACGAGGTCTTCAATGATTTGCACTGCCCTGCACTCAAATGATCCTCGCTGCCCTGCACTCCGCCGTGCCTCCCAGGAGCCCACGAAAGCGGCGGCATTGGCGCAGTTCGCAGCCCCCGAACGAGCCGCGAGGTCTCGAATGATCCTCGCTGCCCTGCACTCCGCCGTGCCTCCCAGGAGCCCAAAAAGTTGGCGATAGTTGCGCAAATCGCAACCACCGAGGGAGCAGCGAAATCTTAAATAATCTGCGCTGCCCTGCACTCCTCCGTGCCTTCTAGGAGCCAACGAGAGTGGCAACAGTTGCGCAGTTCGCAGCCACCCAGTAGGAAAGGTACGATCAAGGGAGGCAAAGAGGCAGGAGGCAGAAGGAGAAGGGATGAGGAGGAGGAGGAGGAGGAAGAGGAGGAGGAGCCAACACCTGGCCAGCAGTTGCCGCGCAGCCGGCGTTAAAACTGTTAAAGCAGTTTGCGCCCCAACTGGCGTTCAAACTGTTAAAACAGATTGCGTCCACATCCGCCGGAGGAGGAGGAGGAGGAGGAGGAGGACGACGACGACGACGAAGGAGGAGGCCGAGGAGGCGGGAGACACACATCCAAACCAAAGAGCCTGCTATAGCCAACCTGGAATAGGTGAGCCGCTGCATGCACTAACAAGCTGGGACAACATGAAACAGTGCAGGTTTATGCACCCTCAGCGCCGCCCCTGGCGCGGGGGCGCGCCTCCGGGGAGGGGAGCTCGGCGCCGATCCGAGAAGCCTCATTTTTATTTCCAGTGAAGTGAGAACCACCGGGCCCATCTTCACAATTCGGGCAATCGGGCTGGCGAGGGAATGGCCGCAGCGCTCACGGCAGATCGCCCGCCTCGTCCCTGTCGCCAGCGGCCGCCGCCCACCGCCGCTGGAAGCCGTCCACCTCCACCTTCTTCTCCACCGTCGCCAGGTCCATGAGGCGGAAGATCTCGTTGAGGTAGCGTCGGGAGGGCTCCGCACTGGGATGGTACCCGTCCTTCAGCCACAGGGACGGATCGTCGGCCCCGCGCTCCTGGATAAGATCGTCCATGATCTGGCTGTAGTCGATCACCTCGTACTTGCCGTACAGCTTGCCGTCCTTGATGTGCTTCCTCAGCTCCCTCTGCATCATGCGGATTCCATCATTCGAGATTGCCGCCACATCCTTGTACACGAGTCCTGCGTCACTAACGACCCACTTTGTCTTGTACACTGCGGGCGCAGTCCTGAAGACGATGCGGCTCTTGTTGTATGCCTCGGACACGCGGGCCAATTCATTCTTCAGATCACGCATGCCCCACTGGCGCAGCCGGTCTGCCGTCACGTTTCTCATGCCCCACGAGGCCCAGGTCGACAGGTCCCACAGGGAGCTGTCCACCACGACCATGTCGGGGAACAGCTCTCCCACCATGCTCGAGGACCACTTGCGCAGGACCTTGACGTCGGATATAGGCTGCCCTATCTTGGAGCCCCACTGGGTGCGGTTGTAAAAGGGCGGCTGCAGGTCACCGTTGATGCCCACCCCGGGGTGGAAGACGAAGCCGATGTTGAGCTGGCGCTCCTCGTCGTAGCACCCCACGCGGTAAAACCTGTCGACCTTGCCGCAGAAGCTCTCCACGGCGTTCCTGTCTACAGAGCATCCCAGGATGAGGACCGAATGATTGGACCCCCGGAGCTGGGTCAGGGCGCCCGTGTCGGTATGGAGCCCGCTCGCCACAGCGGCACAGGCCACCAAACATCCCACGCGAATCATCGTCGTGCAGACCATGGAAGAAGCAAGTATATGATCTCGAGTGTGAATCTAAATCATTGAGCCTTGAGCCAAAATGGCTACGGAGGAGGAGGAGGAGGACGAGGAGGACCAGCGCACGGCTTCAGGGTTGGGTTCGTCCTCGGCACGGCACCGCACAAATGCAACAGTTATCTGCCGAAATCCGCGATCCTCTGGGGGCCTTTCAGACAACCAGTAAGAGGTCGAAGCCGCCAGCAGGCAGCACAAGCATAGGCAAGAAACTCGTACATCTGAACAGATGAGCTTCGCTGGCTCGTCATGCATCAATTGTGGCAGAGGAATGGGGGGGGCAGCCTGAAGACGAGAAGGGAACTTCTTGGTACCATTGGGGTGCCTGTCTTCCAGGGACCTGGCAAGTTGAGACTTTCTACCCTGGCTGGTGACAGACTTGACACAATCGGTGGATAGGCTCGACCACATGTGGCAAACCCAAAGGTTGGCTGGCTGGTCAGGGTGCTCGTAACAGTAAACATCGTGGCCTTCTGCGATTCACCGCGAAGTCCGACAGATGCCTGCGTGTCCAGGACGAGGCTTCTCCTGCAGCGCAAAAAAGCTGCTTCAAGGGACGGGCACGCACACGACGGAGCGCGCACACCCGGTTGCCCGATGATTCAACAAACGCGTGGGGCCTGCCAGGACTAGGAGGAGGAGGAAGATGTCGGGAGCGGCCAAGAGGGGGGTGTCCAAGAGGGGGGGGTGCAAATCGTGACCGGCGGCATGTGCGCGGCCCAGCGGGGGGGCCAGGGACGTAATGAATCAAGAAGAGGCGCCCCGAGATCTGGGGAGATATCATGGCCCCCGCCATGATATCCACCCCCCCGAGTCATCACCCCCCTCTCTTCCGCCCCCGAAGAGGAGGAGGAAGAGGCGCCTCCGAGGAGGCGGCGGGACCCCGGGCGGCAGCGGCCGCAGCAGCACCCACCCGAGGGAGGAGGCAGGCTCTCCTCGGGGCCGGCCACAGCCCTGTCCTCCTTCGGGGCAATAGCGGGCCACTCGTTACCAGCCTGGAACATATCCCTATCCCTATGCTGGGCATCTCCTCATCACCATGCCAGTCTTAGGGATTCCCTTATTTTCTGAGGGCGAATCCCTAAGATTGTCATCGTTTTTTGGCGTGTCAATCTTAGGGATAGGGATAAGTTCGAGGCTGGTAAACTCGGCCAACGCTGCAACAACATACCTCAGGCAGTTCTTACCCAGACTGCGTTCAGCACCAGAACTTGAAATGACATCCAAATGCTCGGTTGCACACCTCGGCGCGCAGCAGCACTGGCCAGACGGTCGGCGGCACCACTGCCTTCCGCCAACCTTCTGACCTCACTGCCCTCGGGGAGAGACTCGATACTCAGATGAGCCTTGCCTTCAGCCCAAGTGAACACTAGGCAGCGGACTGGAGAGGAGAGCGGTGGACAACGCGGCAGAGTGCTCAGCCGCTCCCGACGCGCGAGCGCATTGTCCTCCAACTGCCAAGGAAACGCGCGACAACCTCAATTTCTGTGAAACAGACGACAGCAGAACCGGCAGTGTTGAAACTGTAATGCCCTCTGTCCGTGCAACTGCCATCTATGAAAACTCCCCCTTCACTGAACCCATCCTCAGGCGCGAAACCAGGCCGAGCACGCCAGAACTCCCCGGCTTCAATTCCAGAGCCAGATGGCGGGTCTTTGCAGACATCGGGCACCAGCTGGCACCCACGATGCAAAGGGGCTCCATTTTGGTGGGGGGCTCTCTTAGCCTAAGAAGCGCCACTTCCGAGAAATGAGTTTGTCTGAAACGGGCCGCTTGGGGACAAGATTGCACGAGGTGCCCACGAGAATCCGCGCGACAACCGCTTTCGCATCCAAGAGGAACACCGCATCCTGCTGAGTAAACTCTCTCCATCGTCCAAGTGCTCTGGGTCAGGAACGCGAGGGGGGATCCTCTCTGTTGCCCCGACAGATCAGCAGATGCTAAAACTCGCCGCGCCGCACTGACGTCCAGCGTCGAGGACGGGACGCCGAGGTTCGCTGCGGCCTTGACAGCTAGCTGGCCGCGCCAATCGATATCCGTGAGCTTGTAAAAGTACGCGGGGAATATCCTGGCAGGGTAAATTCAAACCCTGAAGCGGCCACAAGCATGCAAGGCCATTTGAAGGCCCACCCCGTCCTTTGGGAAAACAGAGAGGGGGAGAGAGAGAGAGAAGGAATGGAAAACAAAAACAAAAACAAAAAAACGTAACAATAAAAAAACGGCCCCGATAGAGGCCTCGAACCGACCCCCCGCCATTCACAGGACGCCCAAGCAAAGAAACTCCCCAGAGGCGCAGCTGCTGGAGACTGGCCATGGCAGAGCGGGGGTTGGCGGCCGCATGTCCCGAACGAGACGGCGCCACAGCGTGGCCGGGGCAAGGGCAACTTTCCATAGAGGGTCCCGGAGGACCAGCAAAGACAGGCTGCGACTTCAAAACGGGCACCTAGGGCCAGCGGCCGCGGGGCACCGAGACCTAGCTTGCTCGAGCGCGGCGGTGCCACTGACGCCAGCGACCTCGACTCCGAACGCCGCGGCCGCGGAGAGGCCGGCCTGGCACAGCTTCCCAGCATTGCCCCGACCTTCCTGACCATGCGCGCCCTGACAAGTGAAGGGGCCCCAGGACACACAAATAAATTCACACAAATAAAAAGATTCCCCATATTTTATCATATTTTCTGGATTTTTGTCTTCCCCCCCCACTTCCCATATTTTCCTATATTTTCTGGGTAACCGACGATTAATTGTGTCTGTGTGTTTTTTCCCTCCTGAAACAAGTCTCTTCTTGATTATGTGAAGACGCTCGCCTAGCTCACGGGGGTTTGCCGCCAGCGTCCCAGGGCCTACCGAGCCCGGTGTTCGGCCCCGCGGTCGGGGGCGCCGGAGTGTCCTCGGAGGAACCCGCAGGGTCCCCGCGGTCGGCCCCAAGTTGATCCTGGAGGGCCTGGTGCGAGGCAAGAACTTGACTCTTCTTGCTGGCAACTGCGCTCAAAAACTCGTACACGACAACGTCCGCCAGCGATCTGGCGGCTGTCGTGAACTGGGAGACAAGCAGGTTGAAACTGCGAGAGCGGCACTGCAGCAGCAAATCACCAGTGGACATGGCGAGAAAGAGAGACACGGCTGCGCGCGGCGGCCCCCTTGTCTGGAGGAGCGGGCACAAATATTTCCACAAGATAGGTAGCCCAGCTGCATCCTCCTGCGACACCTCTCCCAGGATGACCAACAGCAGCCGCAGTCTTGCAACTACACGATGCGCGCGCCACCGCACTGGGGCGAGATAGTACGGAGGATCCGACATGGAAAACCGGACTCCACAGCGCGCTTAACAAGACACGGCCTGTCATTATACTCATCGCAATGAGATAGATCGCACAGAACTTGCGCCGAATACTGCTTGTCAATGCTGGGCGCATTGAACTCACGCTCTAGCGACTGCCAGTACACCAGCTCCAGTGGAATGACCAGCCAAATGTGCAAGGTAGGGCCTGCGACCGTGGAACTCCCGTTCTCTGGCCGCCGACCTCCTTAATCCAGCCCACGCGCGATGCTGAGCAGGCAGTGCCCCAATGGAAAAGATAGCTTGCTGGCTGGCTGGCCGGGCTATCATGCTGCTTAACCGTTAACGTCGACACGATCCCTTGACGCTGAGTCCGCACATATCCTATCCGCTCCACTAGGCCGATGAACCTGCAAGCAAGCTCCGATTGTTCGTCATTCAAAAAAAATGCCGAGGGTAAAGACCCACCAGGTGGAGGCCATCGAGCGAGGAAAACTGCGAGCAGCTTTGCGAAGACGACCAGGGGAAATAGGTCCCAGGGCAACGCCACCATAAACTTCGGGAACCACGTCAGGGGGGAAGCAGTGGAAGCATGCCAGATACTAGCCAGCTTCCGGCCTCAACCTGCATGACATGCTGGGGTCTGCCGGCTCGCTTCGAACGATGGTGCACTGAAACGGGCTGCCACGCTTCCAAGCGTTTGGCCCAACGGTGAGCCAACCCCACGCCTCCCGTCATTCGTTCCTTTCAACAGCCTGCTCGAGCAACTGATCGAGCACCTGAAAAGCTCCTGGCGAAGCAGCTCGGGCATCGATACTCGTGTTTTCGTTAGCCTGCTCCTGGCGAAGCAGCTCGGGCACCTGCTCGAGCAACTGATCGAGCACCTGAAAAGCGATGTGCTGATTGAAAGTACCAGCACATGGATTTGAAGGATACCGATGAAAAAACCCAATCCAAGTCCTTTTGGGACTATAGGGCTATAGGGCTTAAGGCTGTAGGGCTACAGGGCTATAGTGCTATGGAACTACAGGGCTATAGGGCCATAGGGCCATAGGGCCATAGGCTATAAGTATATAGGGCTATAAAGCCACCGGGCTATACGGCTTTAGGGCTATAGAGCTATGGGACTAAGGGCTATGGGGCTATAGGGCTATTGGGCCATAGGGCTATCTATCGGGCTATGGGGCTATAGGGATGTAGGGCTATGGGGCTATAGGTCTATAGGGCTATAGGCATACAGGGCTATAGGGTTTCAGGGCTATGGGGCTATAGGGCTACAAGGCTATACCATAGGGCTATAAGGATATAGGGCTATAGGGCTATAGGGCTGTTGTGCTATTGGGCTATAGGATTATGGGACTATAGGGCTATTGGGCTGTAGGGATATAGGGCTATAGGGCTATAGGTCTATAGGGCTAAAAGGCTATACGGCTACAGAGCTATAGGGCTCTAGGGCGATAGGGCTATAGGGCTATAAGGCTATAAGGCTACAGGGCTATAGGCTATAGGGCTATTGGGCTATGGGACTATAGGGCTATTGGGCTATGGGGCTATAAAGCTATAAGCCTATAGGGCCATAGGGCTATTGGGCTATAGGGCTATAAGGCTACAGGGCTATACGGCACCCGGGCACCCGGGCACCTGGGCACCCGGGCACCCGGGCACCCAGGCACCCGGGCGGGCCGCGGAAATCGGTGACAAACCTCACCTAACCATGTGAATCCGCTAGGACCCCTACAGAGGCAAGCTCTGATTGGGGAATCTAGTAGACCTGCCGCTACCCGAGGCTCCTGAAGCCCCTCCTTCAGAGA